CTCTGCCTGCGGTCACATGGCTAGTCATTGTTAAGTCATTTGTCGAAGTACAGGATACTAAACTCAATCTGTGCAGCTGACTGTCCCTGCTGAGGAAAGGAAAGCATGTTGGCATAAGATGATGCCTCTCAGGCCATGAAACAAGTTGCTTAATAAGACAAAATGACACACCAGTCAGGGCATAAGGATTGACACATAAATAGAGCCTGACTTCTCCTTCAACCAGCTCTAGATACCAAGGAGTTGTTTTTTGCTTTGGAATGTGCGTGTAACAAAATTTTATTTCTAAATTCATAAATTGAGAGAGCAAAAAGCTTAACATTTGCCTTTTGATTATTAAAAGCATGTCTCTATTTGCCTAAGCTAAAAGACTACATATATATGTATACATATATGTATTTGTATATATCTGCACAAATTATTATCTACATAGTAATGTATATCCACATAGTAAATTGTTATCTACATAGTAATGGGGAAGCAAATTCACCTCTCTGTGTCTCTGAAATTACTTAAATGAGTTACTGATAGAGTTATTGTAAATTCATATACATAAATTTCCTGAAATGCAGTCTGGGTTAGCACAGGGAAAATGTTACTAGATTGTCTTCCATGTGGCTTGCTTTCTTCTCCTGTTATCTGGCCAAGAATGTAGACATCCAGAAAGCACATGGCTTCTTATTTACCCTCCTAGGTAAACTATTAGACAGTCTCTTCTTTGAGAATGTGATCTGCCTCTGAAATCCTTCTGGTGTGCTGTGGTCTCTATAGATAACACAGATCACTGATCATTGTTGTGAAATAAGGAAAAAGACCTAAGCTAACCTCAGTGTGGAAGTCAGACGTGCTGCTTAGGGAAGTATCGATTTGATGTTTCTCTCTGAGGATTTTCCATTGTGTGAGTGTGCGTGTGTGTGTGTGTGTGTGTGTGTGTGTGTGTGTTGTTGTTGTTGTTGTTGCTGATATTTTGCTTTGTTTGTGGTTTTTGCTACTGTGAGGCAGAAAGGGGAGTTACCTCTCCAAGGAATGCCTTGGGATATACATTCACTCACTGGTTTGCATTTGTAAATGGTGAGACTATAGAAGACAGATAAATTTTGGAAAACATATAGGGCTGGTGGGAGAGAAAGCAGTGAACTCAGTTGGAAGTATATTCCACAATAAGTCTCACCTAGACACTGAAGTTGAGAAGACTGTGTGTGTCTTAGTCTATAGAATTCCAGAGCAGTACAAAGCAGGCCCAAATGGTTAAGATTCAAATTATATGTTGTAACTAAGATCTGTGGAACTTTATGGCGGATTGAATGCTTGTGGGAGAGAAAGAGATGTGGAAGTAAAGTGCAGACTGGAAAATAGTAAACATCTGTGTTCCTAGCCACCGTGGGGTTTTAAGCCCTCAGATGGAGACAGAGCTATGAACTATAGCTTCTCTGTTGGTGAAAGCCTCTTAGAGTAATGGGGTAATGGTTGGGCACACGGGCTCAAGAATTAGACAGACCTGGGTTCTATTATATCTCTGCCACTTGCTAGCTATATGACTTTAGGAAAGTTGAGTAAACTGTAAAGTTTGTCTATTAAAGACAGGGATACAATTGGGAACTTCAAATAAAACAATGTATCTAAGAGTTTAAAACAGGACTCAACAGGTGAATTTGCCAATAGTGAAGGTTAACTGTTATTTTTAGCAGTTCATATTGCTTCATGTGCAAGGGGTACCAACTGCCGCTGGAGCCCTGGGAACAAAGAAGCATGCACTCACTTATAAACACTATAAGCCATAGTTTTAAATAGATGTGAGCATCCAACGGGGGAATCTGATGAAGGCTCTCCATAAGGAAAGCCAAAGGAAGACAGGAATTTTACTCACCCTAAGAACAACCATAAGTAAGTGACTCGACCAGTAGAGAGATGGAGGAAGGTCCTTCAATCATATGGGCATAAGCTGAGTACCTTGATAATTTGAGAATCATAAAGATACTGTTAGTTGTCCCCAGCATCTATGTTCTCTATTATGATTTGATTTGTGACCCCTTTCCCCACCAAAAAAAATGCATAGTTGAAAATTTAGTCTCCAGCACCTTAGAATATGACCTTATTTGAGGATAGGGTCTCTACAGAGGGAAGCAAGTTAAAATGAAGTCATTTGTGTTCTGATTAAATAAGGCTATGTCCTTACACAAAGAGAGTTGAGAGAGATGCACATACATGATTATATGAAAATACTTGGGAGGAGACACTATCAATCAGAAAAGGAGAGCGGCCTGGAGCACGTGTGCTCTCACAACCTTCACCTTACTGGAGACAAACTCCGCTGACATGTAGACGTTTGACAGCTAGCCTCCAGAGCAGGCTGAGACTGCATCTCTGGTCCATAGGCTCCTTAGCTTCTGGAACTTTGTTATGACATCTCTATCAAACTAATATGGTCTCTTTTCTCCAGAGAAGTAAACAATTTAATTGACACACATTTTCCAGAAGGAAAACTATTGGCTCAATTTCCAAGCTTCTCTTGAACTTAAGAGGAGCCTTATGTAGCACTTTCAGGAATCTTTTATTTAATGCAGAAACAAAGTAAACCATTTGCATTCTTTATTTTTTATTTCTGCCCCTGCTCTGCTTTGTGGACCTCAGAAAAACAGGATCTCATGGACCACGTCAAGTTGGGCAGTGTTCTGGGGCCAAGGTACATGCCGTTGCTGAGCTTGTGCCTGCCCCATTTTAGCCTGGGACCTACGTGGACGTCCATGGGACATACAACATACTTCATTTTCATTTAGGCTTCTTTTATTATGGGCTTCGGGTTCACATCACTAAGCCGTTCCTAATTAATAAAGACATTATAGTTAATGTGGCTTAATTTGCATCCACAAAATGATAGGCTTATGGTCTAGATAATACTTCGCATCTTAGTGACAATAATTACCAATTTTATAAAATGTGAGTTCAAATTTGAAACATCCCCACATTCCATAGTTGATAACATGGATTAGTACAGGTTTTCTGGAAGGTTATAACTGCATGTATCTTCAAAATATATATATATTTCCTGACCCAGAAATTCCAGGCCTACAAATACGTAGGAAAGAAAGAATTTGACTCTAAGACTATTCAGTTATGTATTGTTTATCATCCTCAATAACTAATAAAAAAAATCTGTTTAAAATTTTGGCAGTTTAAGCACCTGCCTGGCAAGAGCAAGGACCCAGGTCTGATCGCTGGTACCACATGTCATGCTGGCCCCGGAACCCAGGCAAGCAGTGCTGGCCACCAAAACCAGGCTTGGTGGTGGAAGCCCATGATCCCAACACTAAGAAAGCTGAGACAGGAGGGTCACTACGAGTGCAACCTACAGAGCGAGACCCTGTACCAAACAAACAAATAAGTAAAGATTATTTTTAAAATTATGAAAAATAGAAAAGATTGTGTAGAA